GACTCATTTCCTTGTCGTCATATCATAACAAACCATATCAGGAAATATGAATATCAATTACAAAATATGAATATCAATTTCATATCATATTGTTATGCTAATAATAATTTTGTAGGTGGCTAACAAGAGGCATTCACTTTGAACGTTCGTTCATGCGCAGTTTGTGTGTGTGTATTCTTTCCTTTTAAGTGCCCATCCAGGGTCACAAGGCCTGGACATTTACTATATGTGACAATGGTAAATGAGCTCACGAGTGGAAGGAATACATTCGTTCATTCGTTTATTATTATTAGGTATATATCTAGAAAAGGGTATGTATATCGCTGGAAACTCAGAGAGCGTTTTATGTTGTTATTCTTAGTTTTGTTTATTAAGATGCTTAATATAAACTGCTGTCCATCTCGACTAGCTTTTGCTATTTATGGACAGTAATGATGTAACAGTTATATTCTTCATAATTTATTAAAAATCTTGTAAAAAAATCTTGTAGTGTATTATAAGATTTCTTTACATTCAATTTGTCTTCCATGATAAATAAACTGGTGATAGGAACTATTCAAGCTGTCTAGTTTCTGACAAAGTAGAAAATATTCTTTCCCCTTGCAATCTCTATGATCCGTATAAATTTCAGTAGCGAACTCAAACAAGCGACGTTTTTGCAGTGTGACCAGACTTTTTCAGCAGTCATTACCAAAATTTTGTTCAAATTTTACTAAATTAAGGAAAAATTTACCAAATGTCGGCTTCCCAAATAATTACGTCATGATAATGCCAAAAAACAATAGTTACGTCATCAAAGTAGAAAAAATATTCACAAAAAGTGTCATCGTATTGCAGTTTTTGCTAATGATAAGGCTTTATTTCTTAGGCTTGGCAATTCTGTTAATCACTTTGAGCACGTTATTAAACAAAAAACACACATTTTTACCAACTATTTTTAATAATTCAAACCTTTCAGATTTTACCAAAAGAAACTCATTACCAAATTTTTTTGAAAATTCACGAAATTTTACCAAAAGTAGGACTTTTTACCAAATCTGGTCACACTGCGTTTTTGTCAACACGGACACAGAATAGGAAGTCCCTTTGCCACCTGCGCTCCTTCGCCCAGCGGCTACGCTCGTGTTCCAAGATCCGCCATGTAAAGTGTAGTGAAATGTATCTCATCGTAATATTAAATCCTAAGAAAACTAAAGCCTCTGCGGCGGAGAGAGATAGGAAGTTATAGCAGAAGCGTAACTCTAGTCGTTTCCCTTATTGTTTGACGTCCACGAAAAGTTTAACTCGCTCACGCCAATCCACGTCATCCTGGCTAGTACAACCGGAAGTTTTTATCAGGTTTTGGTAGGTACAAAGTGCCGGTTGTACTAGCCAGGATGGCGTGATTGATGACGAATCGCTTGTAAAAACGCGGACAAATACTTGCTTGAGTTACGCTTCTGCTATACCTTCCTATTCTGTGACACGGACGTCAGATTGCCGAGCGGGGACTGGATTAAAAACTGTGTTTGTATCAGTTTGTGGTAATCTTCAACACATGTGACCGTAGACAGAGTCAAGCCCCGTTTACACTACGCTCAATTTTTGGTACGGCACGGATAGAATTGGTACCCGTACCACTTTTTTGGTTCTTGGACTACCTATTTAGCTAAGCCCCGTTTACACTACGCTCAATTTTTGGTACCGTACCACTTTTTGGTTCTTGGACTACCTAAATAGGCAGTCCCAGAACCAAAAAAGTGGTACGGGTACCAATTTTATCCGTGCCGTACCAAAAATTGAGCGTAATGTAAACGGGGCTTCAGTCAAGATATGATGGTCTGGAAACCCGGCAAACTTCAAAGCTACAAAATAGAAGACCTTTGTTTGATGTTGAACTATATCTCACCATGCACAAATCCTTTGTCTCAACTTCATTAAATATTCATTGTGGTTGCACGTTTCATCTCAGCTATCCCTTTTGAATGATTACTTCATTATACGAAAATACAATGAGCTCAATCACCGTGACTGTGCACAAATTAACATAAACTCCGACAAAAACATAATACAATGACTTGTGTTTAGTTTCCAGACCATCCTATCTTGATAGACTATGATCTGATAAAATGCAAGATTTTTGAAGTTTTTTGCTTCCTTAACCGAGCGCTATGATGCAAAATGCCTCCAAAATTAGCATACCAATTTTCGGATGACGGTCCATGTTGACAAAAACATCGCTTGCTAAGGCGCATTTCAGCCCTGTTAAACCAACTAGGAAAATCAATTATACATAATTCAAAATCAGTAAACTTAATGTTTACAATAAAAATGTTTTAAAATGTTAAGAACAGTAAGTTTGCTGATCTTGAATAATGCGTAATTGATTTTCCTAGTTAGTTTTTTCAATTAAAAGGGCTGAAATGCGCCTTAAAAACCATCATTCAAAAGGCTGAATTGTGCCTTTAAGCTCAGGATCAGTCACTGAATTATCCCACTAAAGCTCACTCATATTTCTGAAGTTAACCACAATCTGCTGTCCTCTTACACCGATCTTTCCTCTTGTGCGAAGGTTTACCGTATGGCGAGTTGTGTTTTTGAGAAACGGTTTCTAACATTGACCACTTCATCTTCCAATACCTCATCCATGTTCGATAATTCTGTCGAGACCACGTGATTCATTGCAGAACATACCCCATTGCTGATTTTGTGGTTATTTTTATCGTCTAATTCGTAAGGCCAGGACAGTAAAATCATTACAATGTAATGGGCAAGATTGAAACGTCGTAAATGACACGACGACGGTTGAATGTGTACGTTACAACACGTAATTGTTGAATGTGTTGGTTTGTTTTCAGAAACGCCGTCGGTT